TGTGTGCTGCAAGGCTCCGGGGGGACCGGCTGGGAGGAGGAGGTCCGCCGGGAAATGGATCCGCGCGCCCCTCATGGCCGCCATCACGTGCATCGGACGCCGATAGTAAATTGGCAGCTATGGGCTGCGTGCGTGGGCGCCTGGCTCCGGCTGCCCAGCCCCGCTTGTTTGTGCGATCCTCGGGCATCCGCCCCAAGAGACGGGGCTTCCAGGGGATGTCTCTGTGCCCGACCGAGACTACGATGTGCGTTGTCCCTGGTTCTCGGACCAGGGGGGCGCCAGGACATTGGATCGGAAACGTGGGTCGTGTTGCCCTCCATATGGGCACTTTCGTCTGGGCTCCAAGGGCCGCCGGCCTGAGAGGGCCCATCGCCCCGGCCGGCTGTTACACTGGCTGCCCTTTGTCCCCCTCCCCCCTCTTTTCCCCAGCATGTCTGTCCCCACCCCCACTCCCGCTCCCACCCCCACCTTCATCCCCCAGCCCGGGGCCCTGCTCGACGAGATGCCCGAGGATGAGGCTGTGGCCCGGATCCAGGCTGCCCGCGCTCCTGGCGGATCCGGTCTCCTGGCTGCCTTCCCCCCGCTGAAGAACGACACCGCCCTGCGCGCGGCCAAGGGCCTGCCGGTGTCACATACCCCGGTGTGGGCTATGCGCCAGGCTGGTCGCTATCTGCCCGGTGCGTTGTCCATGGGATTCCTCTCGGATGGCTAGCGCGCTGATCTGCCCCTCCTCAATGCGTCTCGCATCTCTTCACGCCCTAGCTTCGCTTTCTGTGTGGACACAAACGCACGCAGACGCACGCAGACGCATGCAGACGCATGCAGACGCATGCAGACGCATGCAGACGTACACCTACCCACCCACCCACCCACCCACCCACCCACCCACTCACTCACTCACTCACACGCTCACACACACGTACACATGCCTACATGCAAACAGAGTTCCGCTCGGTTCGCAGCCTGTCCCAGTTCTTCGAAGTCTGCCGGTCGCCCTCCCTGGCGTCCGAAGTGACTCTGCAGCCGCTGCGCCGCTTCGCCCTGGACGCGGCCATCATCTTCTCCGACATCCTGGTCATTCCCCAGGCTCTGGGTGTGGATGTGGTCATGACGCCGGGGATCGGCCCGCAGATCCCCAACCGAGTGGCCACTCCGGCTGATGTGGAGACCATTGTCAAGTTCGTCGGCGAGGACTACACCAAGTGTGCCCAGTCGCTGTCGTACGTCTGGGAGGCGGTGGCCCTGACGCGCATGCGCATGAATGGGCACTGCCCGCTCTTCGGCTTCTGCGGTGCCCCATGGACCATCATGGCGTACATGGTTCAGGGCGGCGGCAGCCGGAACTGGGACCATGGTATGTGTCATGTGCATTTTGCTGCCTCCGGTTGTATGCTCGTCTCTCACCCATTTTGCCACCCTCCCTCCTGTCTCGCAGCCAAGGCCTTTGTCCTGAACCACCCGGAGGCTGCCCACCAGCTGCTGCACGTCATCACCGAGGTGTCCATCGAGTATCTGGTGGGCAAGGTCCATGCCGGCGCGCAGGTACACACATCCCACCCCCTCATCACCATCATCATCATCATCATCATCATCATCATCATCATCATCATCATCATCATCATCATCATCATTTCAGCTTGTCTCCTTGTGGTTGCGCCCTTTTGCATTCTCTCTCCCTCCCTCTCTCTCTCTCTCTCTCACACACACACATATACACACAGATCCTCCAGGTGTTCGACTCGAACGCTGGCGAGCTGCCGCCGCATCAGCTGAAGGAGTTCTCTCTTCCCTACCTCGCGCGTATTGCCGAGGGCGTGAAGGCCCGCCTGGCGGCTGATGGTGTTGAGGCCGTCCCTCTGGTGGTCTTCGCTCGCGGTGCCATGCACTCGCTGGACCTGGTGGCCAAGCTCGGCTATGATGTCCTCGGCATCGACTGGACCATCGACCTGAAGTCGGCTCGTGCCAAGGCCGGCCCGGGCTGCGTCCTTCAGGGCAATCTCGACCCGTGCACTCTGTTCGCCCCTCCGGAGGTCATTCGCCAGGAGGTCCGCCGTATGCTGGCCGAGTACGTGACTTCTTGCCCTCCGTGTCCCCCTCCCGCCCTCCCTCCCTCCCCCTCGGACCCGCTCCCCTCTCTAACATCATTCCTCCCCACCCCCATAGCAATGGTGATGGCAGCCTCATCGCCAACCTTGGCCATGGCATGCTGCCGAACCACTCGCCCGAGCACCTGGGTGTGTTCATTGAGGAGATCCACGCTGTCTCGCGTGCGGCCAAGTCCACCTAGACCCGGTGGCACACCCCGTCCCCCTGAGCAGAGTGACAGCACGAGCGCACTTTCCCCCCCCCCCCCCCCC